CCAATCCAAACTGTCTGGGGTCTGTTGAGTGTCATACTTAGGCCCAGGATGTTGAGTTTGCCAGTTTAACAAAGCATTGTTAATTATGTTCTTAATTAGTTTGATCTATTTCTCTTAAAAAATCCCATCCCTACTAAGGGCCGAGCGGAGCGCATGCAGCCTACGTTGTCTCCAGACTCTCTTGCAGTTCTGTCGACTTAACAACCACAGCTTTGTGTAATACATAGGTTCATTAGAGGTACCCCACCTGGGATGGTTTGGTTCTTCTCTTTCAAACCAGGTATGCTAACAGTTAATAGCTGCTTCCCGGCCCTTTCTGCCGGAGCCCCCATGTGCTCCCTCCCTACCAATCTCTTGGCCCTACCACTAACAATAACTTTAAAACCGGTGCCTGGCCCATTCGCCAGCAAGGAGAACGCCCAGGGTCCTCTTTGATTCTCCCTGAGGGTGGACACATTAACACACCCAATGTGGACCAGTTGTTGTGTGTCTTCCCCCCCCCCCAGGGATCTGTCTGGCATCATCCAGGTCTTCCGCCTCCACCTTTGCATAGTCATATTTTAGGGACATGACTGCTGGGTGTCTCATTCAGTGCTTGGTGCACTGTCTGGGAGGATCTGAGGTGCTTTTTGAAAACATGCAGTTTTCTGGCATGGTATGGTTCCAGTGCAAGACCCTCAGGTGGGTGGTGCTCAGCCACTGGACTGCGGTCAATTTTTAGCCTCTATCAAGGTTCAAACTACTTTTGGTTCAGGCTCAGCTAGGAGCACACTTCATCCTTAAGGCCTTTGCCTTAGGTTTTAACCAATAGCAAAGCCTTTTACAGGGTGGAGCGCATACGAAAAACAGTATGTGCGTAGCCCTCTAACCACAAGTCCAGCTGGTCCCAGTTGTTGCTGAGTTTCAAAGGGAGACGAGCAACACATGCACTGGGGCTTTATAAGGGGGAGGATGCTACCCCCTGTTTGGATGGTGAGTGCTTAAGACTTTTCTCAGGTGCCAAGGCGAAGCCTCGTAAAGGTACAATTGTAGCAAAGCCCATAAGGGGGCTACGCATGTAGGAGTTATACCCAGGTAACTACTATTTGTTGCTCCTGGCTCTGAGCCAACAACTGTAGATGTGAGTACAGAATGGCCGTGTATATACACTGGTCTATTTTATGTATGTGTGAGTGGTTCACAATGAAGCATGAGCATGAGCATCGTGTGCACGTCTGCCTGTGTGTGTAGTAAATTCTTGGAAAAATAGAAGATGTTAACTTTTTTTCTATGTAAGGGTACATACAGTACATGGACTCACAATGAACCAGACACACACATACACATATATACACACACTTAAGGGGTGACAGAGTGCACTGGCTGAGCTCAGATGAACCAATGGCAACCTGGGGAAGGAGGAATGTGTGTAGCGCTAGTCCAAGAGAGGCCGTCAGAATCCTCAGCAGGCAACCACGGTTGTCTTAGTGAACACAAGTGTGAGTGTGTGGGAGTGTGTGCGTCTGCATAAGAGGCTGGTAGGGCTAGTAATTGTGTAACTATTTGAGTGTGTGTGATTCTACAAACAATGGCAATTAATTGTGTTAATGTGTGCAACAAAGCTTTTAATTTAAACCTTATTTTGTTATTAGTTGAAGCACACTACTCTATATAAAACTCTAAAACATCTCAGCATCGAGCAGCATTACTTGATCTAAATTCCTTCACAGCTGGAAGATGCAGTGAAGCATCTGTAGGTGGTGAGTTCCCTTGCAAGTGGGCAGTTACTACTGTCAGCAAGGAGGAGATCTGCCCTCTAGGGAGGCTATAAAGATTCAAGGAGGACACTCACTATACCACCGCTCATACCACTAATCCCAAAAATACAGCATGATGTCATGCAGATTCCAAGTGTGGACTGCAGTACCAGAAACAGGGTCATGTGTGCACTTGACTAATGCACAACCGAACAAGAAAAAAAAAAAGGAAGGGAGAGAGGAGTAAGGAGGGAAAAAGGAGGAGAGTGAAGGGCTGTTTAAAATATTCAACCCTCCTTCCATTAACTAACCATGTAGCGATGGGAACACGACCTGCACTGTACATCTCATGAGAGAGAGAAAAAAGAGAGAGAATGGAGAGAGAGATGGTGCACTGTGGGAGTAGACCTCTTTCATCCAGTAGCCCTTGAATCCAGCTCAGCATTTTCTCAGTGATGTCATCTCTTTTTCACTCACTTCACCCTGTTCACTTTCTCCCTCACCTCCCTCTGCTCTCTCACTCCATCCTTCCTGGGCTTTCTGCGTCTCGCACGCACATGCTCGCATCCCCTCCCTCTGCACTTACACAATGTGTAGTGCATTACAATATCCGATGCATCTTGTCCAGCACACAGAGATACGTATAAATCTGTAACTGCCAAAAGTCATCCCGAGTTTAGCTGAAATAGGATGTTCGGGTTTTTGCTGCATACTTCTCCATCCCTCCATCCTCTCCCGTTCCTTCACAATCCAACCACACAGCATCATCTGACAGGCAAGGGGAACACTGTGTTAACAAACAGGGAAATGGCTGCCAGCTGCATGGGACAGGGCCGGACAAGGGGGAGACGCATTGTGAATGCAGCTTTTTATTGGGTATGAAGAGAAGGGAGAGGCATGAGGAGAACATGGAAGAGAGGAGGAGTGTAGCTCAGGCACAAAAAATTGGTCTTTGAAGCTCTCTAGCAGTCAGTTTTTACAGCAGGGGAGTTGGTGCAGAATATTTTCAGTGAAGACAGGTTTGGCCATAATGAAGACTTTTTTTTTTAAATTTTTTAAAAGACTCCCATGAGAAAAAAATTTGCACTTAGCTTTCTGACTTAAGGTTTAAGCCCTCTGCAGGAGACAGCGATCTGACCGGTCTCTGCCAGCAAGGACTGGTCTGATCCGCTCTTACAGGAGCTCCAAACACCTGCTTACATAAACTTTAGCTCCTCCTTAAACAAATTCATTGGATCACTGACATTATTAATCTGTGTCTTAATAGTAGTTTATTAATCAACACAGATCACTTTACATTTAAAGTGTATGTCTTTCAGAAATTATTATGTGCTTTTCCTTGTGTCCTGGTCTGGAGATTTAAGACGCTGACCATGTACTTGAAATGTCCCAGTTTCAAGTCTGTCCAGGGACCAGAAAAAAGTACAAAAAGTTACAGTCCCCTTTCCATCTCTAGTGTACTACCTCCTGTGTCTGGTTCAGCATTTTCTGAATCTAATGAGAAGGACAGCTAAGTACATCGGACAGTCAGGGTAACAAATCAATTAAAATGTGATTACATAAATGTTACATATATAATATTTCTGACTACAGTACCTCTGTGGAGTCCTACAGAGCCTGCCACAGTCCTCATATCCCTTTTGTAAAAGATCTCATAGTCAGAGTGCTGCAACGTGAGGAAACACCTGATTAAGTTTGAGTCTTCCTTCATGTTCTGCGGCCAGGATGATGCACCAGAGCTCACTTAATGGCAAGACACTTATCACCACACCAGACTATCATACCTTATAATTAAGGATCTTTCAGCTCATGTATGCAGTGAGAAGTGGGTCACCTGGCAAGTTAGGCAAGGTAAATGCAGCATTTTGGGGTTGAACCATGTTCTTTTCTGAAAAGAGAAACAATCCTTTTTTATTCATGTCCAAACACAGTGTAGTGTTGGCAGGTTCCTTCACAGATGTTATAACTTAAAAATTAAAGTTTATTCTTCTTTAGCTCATGTAACATTTTTTGATTAGAATAATTATTCTGTCAGCAAAATTATCATCATGGGTAAAAATCAAATCATACTTTCTTTATTTTATTTCCAGTAGAAGATAAATGATTTTGAGAAACATTACGTCCATAAACATTTTAATCACTAGACCAGTCTGTTGAGAGACTATTATGTTACATGGTATGTCTCAATCTCTTCGACTACAACTGTCTTTACCCCTTCCACCCCTCAAATGATTTTCTGTTTTTCTTTTTATCAGTAAAGTAGTTCCTGTTTACTTGTTCTTTATAAAGAGCTAAAATGACTAAGAGACATTTATCTGTGTGAGCAACAGATGAGCTCATTAACTAAAGTGTGTCTCAGCGTCTGTCTGTACACTATAAAATGTGTCATTTTTCTGACAGGATCCAAAATGTCCAGAACACTATAAAATGTCCACAGTGTCAGCAGGCCGTAATAAAATCAGCACCTCAGCGCCAGTTTACTGATGTAAGAAATGGCTGCGGTATATATGTACAAGTGTGTTTATCCGATGGTACGGGATATCCCCATGACAAGGAACTGGAGGAGAACAGGGTCAAGAGTTTTGCTTGGCAAACACCAGAACTTGATTTCCAAACTTTCATGTGGGGTCTGTTCAGGCCAATAGGAGAGCAAGAACAGGAATTTGGTCTCCCTCTCTTGTTGGTTAAGCAGCTGTTTCTCTGGAGGTCCTGACTGGGCAACAGAGACAGAGGGAGCAGGGGAGAGGAAAATAAAAACTGAAAGTGAGGCAGACAGAAAAGAAATAGAGTGGCTGTGTAACAGGAGGCTTGTTTTGTTCCAAATCAGATTGCTTTATAGAGACGCAGGGGGTGAGTGGTTTCAGGCAGCAGACAATGGGCCAACAGGATCAATATTGACATTCTCCTTAGTGATAGCTGAGTTGGCTGGGTGAGGTCAGGAACTGGACCTTTGTATTAGCCAGCCAGCATTAGTGGTCACGGCTGGGGGACACTTACTGTAACCTTGGCCTCTCAGCATAATGGAGGGTCTGAGCGAGCCCAGGAGAGGTCCCTCCCCTTTATGGGCCTTATTACCGTAAGAGAGCTCAGTCCTCCAGTGGCCCGATTCAAACACAGATCATTACTTTGTCAAAACAGCTACCAGACCATGTTGGCACACGCGCAGGCCAGCTTGTGTGGCGAACAGCGTCTCGAAGTGCCAGTTGTTGAGCGCAGCAGCCGTGGGAGATGAGGCGAGCAGAACACAAGAAAAAGTAAGTAGAGCACTTTTGGACAAGTGACCGTTTATTAGTTCTCATTCCAGCAGCACTTACAATTAGACAGATTCACTGGCAAGTCCTGCGCGCTAGGCAAACACACACAAACACTGGGGTACAATTCTCTTTCAGAGTTATGGCAAGAGGTGCTACCACAAAATAATAAAACACTCCAGCAAATTCCATATTGTTGCTTTGCTGAAACAACATCTCAATTGTTGTTTACCTAAAGTGGTCAATTAATCCAAGGCAAACTCATAAAACAGGAAAGGATGTGGGTTGTCCAGGTAGTCTGATCCAGCTGGCGGAGAATCAGGGCTACTAGGGATACCACAGTATACCACTCCCCAGCATGGCAGAGGAAGAGGAGTAGGAGAGGGACGAGGATAAATAGGGACAGCAGAGGAGACAGGCGAAAAGGAAAGGAAACTCCTGAGGAGAGAGGAGAGACAACAAAAGAGGAGGTGCAGAGGTAGTGGTGCCAAAGAGGAGGAGTAAAAGGAGAAGGAGGTGGAACAGGATGAGTGGGAGGAGGAACGGGAAGAGGTCATCTGAGGTGATGGAGATTCTGTATGGTGGGCTGGTTTCATGAAAGATGGAGCCGGGCCACTCTCCTCCTCCTGTGATTCTGTTCTGGCTTGGGTTACTGGACTGAAGCCTCGCAAACTCACACACACACACACACACACAAAACACATGTCTCCAGTCTCACACACACGCTCATTCTTCTTTACTACACACTCATGAGTGTTTTCTTACAGAAATAGAAGTGACTTCACAACAGTCGCGTTGTAAATCAACACATGTTGCTCCCAATGAAACACCCACGCACACATACGAGCACAGAGTTCCCGGTCAGTGGGTTGTCTCAGAGTCCGAACCACTCAGTGACCCCTCCTCTCCTGGGGTCGAGTTTCTGCCTCTGCTTCTCGTCCTCCATGAACTTCTCCTGCATCTCCTCCATAGACCCCTCCGCCACCACCTGGTCTTTTTCCGGGAAGATGTCAGGGAAGGTGAACGTCTGGCCCTGGGCCTGGGATGCAAAGGCAAAAAAATTAGCAAAATTAGCAAAGAAACAATCATGTTCCTACCTAATAACAAGAGGAATTTGTTGTTTATTTTCTACTTTAATCATTTCACAAACCAGTTTTTTTTTTGTGTGAAACAAAAAAACGTGTCAATTTGTTTTCCTTTTCTTTGCAGAGACGAAAAGTGAGATACTGATTTGGAATTCAGGACACTGTTTCTCCCTCTATACTCCTCTTCCAGTTACACAAACGCTCCCTTTCTCTCTGGCATTCAATTTCTCCAACTCTCTCCCACATTTAATCTCTCATCTCTCTCCATTTCTCTGGTCTTGATTTATTCAGAGGGAAAGGATGGTATCCATTATTTATTCCATACCAACCCATCTCTGGCCATGGCTAATGCATCACTGGCCCAACCGTAGTCTGTGTCAGGCTACCGTAGAGTACAGTACAGTGCACACGCACACACACA